CTATTTGGCAGAGTATTTATTCAAAACCCCAAAACCCCAAAACCCCAAAACCCCTCACGAAAAAATTATCTATAATAAGAGTAATTGTTAAATATAAATCAATAGCTAGTTGGATCAGGGTAAGGGACATCGAGTGATCTTTTGAATAAATACTCTGCCAAATAGTCAACTGGGTCATCAGGGGTCTTTTTGCACACTTCAATTAGTCCATCAGTGAGAATAGGCACTAAGTTGTCCATTAAGTATTAACGAATTGGCTAAGACTTAGTGTCTAGCAAATCTCTTTCCTGTTCCTTGATCAAGTCAAGTCTTTACTTAGTGTAAGCTTCCTTTTACTTACGAAGTTCTTGCTCAATCTTGGCTTCTCTATTGTCTAAAATTCTTTCATGGTATTACTGCATGGATACTTTTTCAGTATACGCTGATGTCCTATTAAATTTAATGAATCAAAGTAATTTTACTTAGCCTAGCTTTCCCATATGTCAAATTCTTACCAATTAACTGGCTTTTCAAACTAAAAATTTGAGTTTAAACTTATTGAACTTACTCTTTCAATGTATATTTTGAAGGCAGCAATTGATTTCTATTCTTCTGTTTGGCAGTTTTCTTCATGGAGTTAGTTGACTCCATATTGCTAGAAGAATTGATGCACTGAGGGCTCAGCTATAACAGACTTGTTAGCTGAAGCGTAGGCTTTTAATCTTCTTAGCATGTCCTGTTCATTATAATGTGTGTTCTAAACAACTTACTCAGTCAATGACTTAACTCTGGTTATCAAGAAATCATCTTCTCCCTTTAGGACTAAGACACTAGAAGGGAATATGTCTTTATCTGGTTCATAGTTATCATATGATTTTTGCTCTCCCTCCTCAAGTTCTGGTTCATCTTCTTCAATTGGATTTCCTTCTTCATCAAACTTTTGCTTTCTTTTTAAGAATACTTCACATGCATCCTTGAAGGTCCTTGGATAGCCATCAAGAATATAACCTCTATTTCTGCAAGCATTTTCATTCAAAGCTAGCTTCAAAAGTTTGTAAAGAATATCGTCTGGAAGTCTGATAGGTAGCTTTTCTTTATCGATTTCAGGGGGTTCTTCTTCGCCCTCTGGTCTGTTTTCCAGAATTTAATCAGCCATGGCTTATCTCAATTCCTCTACTTTCGTCTTAATCTCTGCTACTAATTCGTTGGTCTCACCTTCCTCTTCAATTTTAGCCATTTCGAAAGCCTTATCAACTAATTGCTTGACGTTTACACGAGGAATATTGTAGTATCCTTCTAAAAAAGTAGCGTAATGAGTTTTCCCACTTGCTGGTGGACCAGTTACAAAGATTTTAACTGGATTTAGTCCTCTGAATTAATTGAATTCATTATTTAAGAGTCTCATATTATCGATGACACCCTTCTCTGAGTGCCATGGGAACTTCAGTTTCTTGGCTGCTTCCTCTTAATCTTCAGCATCTTCAGGTGGTTCTCCATCCTTAAATACTTCAGATGTTTTCATTTTCAAGTTTATTCTCAAGAATTCTTTGACTTTTTCAGAAAATGGGAATGTCCATTCAGAGTTGTATCTGGAAATAAGCCCAGTTCCCATGCCCTTAGAAATAGCTTAGATTATTCTTATTTAAGATGGCTTGGATGTTCTATCCATGGCAAATATGTATTGCTTGGTAACTTTATCTTACACAATTCTTCTAACAAGTCTAGCGAGATCAATAACGTGAATTGTTGGAATCAAATTATCACCCTTAGAAAGATATGGAAGATCTGATGGGCTCTAAAGCCATGCACTTTTAAAAAGCTCATAAAATTGTCTTTCGCCATTACCATATCTGATACCACTGCACAATACATGAACTTTTAATTTAGGTTGAGTTTTTACAGATGACATTGCTAATGTTTCAAGTGTTTTTAAATATTGATATTCCTCAAGTGGGACTCTGAGATGGTAGTCTGTTTCTTTAAAGAACAGTACCTTAGGTTTTTTAATTGGCTCTCCGTTTTCATCCTTTTCAGCATCCTCCTCTGGTTCAGCATCACCTTCTGGTTCTTCCTCTGCTTCTTCAGCCTCTTCATTTGCCTCTTCACCTTCTTCGCCCTCTTCGACTATCTTTGGATATTTAGGAGGAGTATTCACCCAAGTCATAACGCTTGACAATAGTATAAGTGTTTTTTCTTATTGGAGATTGCTTGTTTTGAGTGTTTTAATCACATAGTCAACTTCTTCAAATTTATTATTGAGCAAATCGTACACGATTACATCACTTTCAAGGATAGTCTCTCTGAATTCCTTAGTTCTTTCCATTTGAACAACTCTCTGAACCCCTTCAGGTGGAACTTATTTTAATCCTGAATTATCTTCTTCAAATTTATCTAGAGTTCCGACGAATTAATGAGCTGCATATTCTTCTTTAACTAAATGATCATTTCTTAATTCCTTAAGCAAAGCTTTGCCTGAGTAAGTATTAAGGGTGGCAATGAAGAATTTTTTGCCAGGGTCTTCCTTGATGACTATTGGAGCTTCTTCAACCTCTTCGCCGTATTCAGACATTATTAATTCAAATTTATTTAATTACTCTTAACTGTATTTTAAGATATAATTTTAAACTTGGGGTTTTGGGGTTTTGGGGTTTTGGGGTTTTGGGGTTTTGGGGTTTTGGGGTTTTGGGG